TTCTTCTGCTGTCCTCTTGCTCTGGAGGTTGGCTAAGGTGCTGCATGTGTCTTTCCTGCTCTCCTCCCCATGGCTCTGGATAAAGCTAGCTTCTAGTGGTCTGTGTAGGAATGGTTAGTTGCTAGAGGTCTCTGAGCTAATGCCAGTGGGAATAGTCAACTATGGTCTGAGGGCCACAGGACAGAGTCATAAAGCCCCCTCATGACTGCAGATCTCTGAATTTACACTTTTCTGTATTTGACTTTTCAACTCTCCTAGCACCTTTATAACAAATTCTGCACACGGTAACCCCTCTGTTGAACTACCTAGCACCTGGCATCATTTCTAAATTACTGCTGTCAGAGTACCCATCTGGCCTTTCTGGTTCTTAAACCTGGGATAAAGGTGGTAGAAGACAAACGGGTGACACACAGGCTGTGCTACCAGAAGTTGTACTTGACTATGAACAAGAAGGCACGAGAAATCCCTCTCAGGGCCATTCATTTCCTTGGGTGCCTTCAGGCTGGAATGTGCTAACTGATGATACTCTAATGACACTGAAGAATTAATGCAGCTTTCAGAGGTGCTAAATGTTCTATTGGGGATTGGCTAATTAAGAAGGAGAATGTGTCTCATTAGAGAGGATCATGTTTAATTATAGTGGAAAAGATAACAAAGCCGGGATGCTCCACACATGCACTTCGGGTCAGCCCTTGTCAGGCACCTGCAGTGGTTCTCGACTTTGTCCTCTTGGCTTGCTGTCTTGCGCGTGATGACCACACATGGGGGTAGGAGGAACCAGAGACATTCCTTGTTGCCAATTGTAGCTTCAGAGACACTTTTCAACTTCAGAAACACCCTCATGAAACCTTGCCAGTCACTATGCAAAATGAGGAGAGCACGGTTCCTCACTTGATCTCAGCTTAAAGGCTGAGATGTGATGGGCATGGTTCTTAGAGAAGTGACTCCAGAGAAACACCAACCTCACCTTGTCCTCTCCTAAAGCAAAGTGGGATAGGAGAGACCAGAACAGCCTGGCAAAACCCGGCCTTCTCATGCACTCATGTGCTGCTACAGAGAGAGTCACACAATTGCACCAGCTGACAATGGAAAGTTTTGGGAAGCCCTCCCCCTGTCTTAGGCTTTTAAAAATACATGTCTATAATGTAGAATGGGAATAAATAAAATGTGACTGAATGCCTTTCTCAGTCAAGGCTATCATCCCTGATGTTATCAATTTTAACAGCTACTTAAATATGTCAAGATCTATTGAAACTCAGACAAGCACAACTAACATCCACATTGCTTTTTTAGAACCCAAATGACTAGATTTGGGTGATACTTGGTAAATTTGTGCTTATGTTTTTTTCTGAGCAAATGAACTGAAATAATTATAAAATTGAAACACTTTATAAGGTGACACCACTGCATTTAATTGTATGAAATTTACAGTGTAGAAAATGTAATCATTTTATTCACTAGCCCATGGTGTAATTAAGACTATTCTTTGTAGGTATCTTGTATTTATGATTTTCTCCTTCCACCTGGATGAGATGTCTGAAATTCAAAATTATACATCAATTAGGCATATTCTCATGATTATTTTTTAAGGTACCTGAACAGTCTAAGGTGATGTATATCTCTGGCATCATTTCCCATAGGGATACTTTTGCAAGCAGAAGATGGTTGACCTACAAGCAGGTATCACATAGTTCCCTGGATGTTTTTCCCCCATTTCCTTTGGGAAAGAGACCACACACGATGGATCACAACTCTGTAATAAAGTTATGCTACAGTGCAGAGTGTGTGCTGTTCAGTAAAGATGCTTTTAAATTCCCATCAGAGCACACCCCATGAACTGTGCTAATGGATATAACACGTTTTACAAAATCTGCATGTGTGAGCCTTTTCTGTCCTGTTTTAAGTGGGGCAATGTATATAAATAATAGATATTAGCAATTAAGCATCCATTCCTAGCACTCATTTATACATTTGAAAATAAATTAACCACAAGCTATATGAAAGTGGATGCGATCTTCTCCTTTTCTTCCCTTCTGTTTTCCCTGCTGTTCCTGAAAGATATTTCCGTATTTATCTCAGTACGAACAATGACCCCCACTTCTCAATTTCTGCATCCTTAAATTAATTACTATCAAAAATCCTCTAAATGAAATGTGCCTGACTTAACTCTTCATTTCCTTGCCGTTTAGGATAATGAGTGTTTTTGTTTTTTTCCTTCTAATCACTATTTGTGGGACTTAGTCTGAGATTTTTTACTTTCATTGGGAAAATTTTTTCTTTATTGCAAAGAGAGACAGAAAGAGTGGGTTGTGACTTTGTGTCTTTGCCTGAAAACCCCAAGTGTTCTGAGTCATTCTGACCTTAGTCAAATCTTCTAATAAGTGGCCTAACTCACATATCCTTCCTGCTCTCCTTTGCTCTTTTTGAACAAGAGAAATTGTAACTTTCTTCTTAAGTATCAGTCACCATTTTAGCAGAGCAACCATTTCCTTCTTTCCCTCGGTATGGAAAGATACAACTCTCATGATTCTTTTCACAGGATTCCTGACAGGACAGACAGAATGACTGTTGAGGGACACTGTGTCTGTGGATATTTACAAGGCAGTTCCTAATTCTGGGACTGCTAGTCTGATGCCCATGATGACTGTCCGTGCCTCCCTACTGCAATCCACAGAAATGCTCTGTATCAGAATGCTTTCACAGAGAGCTCTCCTGCCCTGCCTGTTTGCATGTCTGCCATTCATCTCTGCCAAAGTAACTTCAGCAGCAGTATCATGCTAGATTGAGGCTCTGGTCTGTAGACCAAAGTTATCCCAAAGACATATTGTGGAAAGTGTCTTGAGTACCATAAAATAAACAGAAGTCATTACCAATATTAGAACATTTAGAAGTTTCACATAATATTTATATTGTCTGCCTATTCTTGGAATACTTCAAAATCTACCAACTTTAAGCCGACTGAGTCATCTAACTTGAGCTGGGTAGAAGAAGTGTTTATTTATTTTAACGTGTGTGTGTGTGTGTGTGTGTGTGTGTGTGTGTGTGGAACATCAGGTATCATCCTCAGGAATGCTATCTATATCCTTTGAGGCAGAGTCTCACACTGGCCTGGAGCTCATCAAGTAGGCTAAATAGACTGGCCAGTTTGCCTTGGGGATCCCCTGTTTCTGCCTTTGCTTCCGTAGTGCTAGGAATTACAAGCACATCACTATGCCTGGATTTTTTTACATGGGTTCTGGGGATCTAATCTTATAATCTGGTGGCTTCAAGGGCAGTGTGCCTTGGGGATCCCCTGTTTCTGCCTTTGCTTCCGTAGTGCTAGGAATTACAAGCACATCACTATGCCTGGATTTTTTACATGGGTTCTGGGGATCTAATCTTATAATCTGGTGGCTTCAAGGGATGACTGAGCCATCCCACCAGAAGTGACCTTGTAGGGGCCTCTAGCTGGGATCCCCTTCCCTTGTCATAGTCCTTAGGAGTTGCTCTCGTTTACTTCTCTTCTTAATCAATCAAGACTGTAGTTTCTACTTTAAAGTACCCAAATCAACATCTGTATCAGACAGCACATTTATAACACATAGAAGTCCTGTCTCTCTTTCCTGACTGAAACTGCCATCACACTAAAATCTAAAATCAAAGTTCTGTGTGACAGTTTTTTTGTAAGATGCTTTATTTGTGGTATTCCATCGCAGAATAGCTCAAATGACCTGTGCAGTGTCACTAGCTCTGGTATTTGACTGAGAAAGTGAGATTCAGAGGTTGAAAAAAAAAGACAAAACCCAAAACTTGTCAGGTTTTATACACTGAATGAACTTCAGAATCATGAGCGAACTTAATGGGATTCCCAAAAAGCTCCCTACAAGCTTTAAGAACTTTTCTTATTTTCAGTAATGAGCTATGAAGCGCAGAGGAGACATAATACATTGCTTTATCTTCCTTTGAGAAACCCGGGCTTATTTTTCAATGCAATTGTAGATACCAAATCTAAACATTACAAAATTCTTGAGGGACTTATATCTCCTGTAAAGGTCATTGCAAAGATATTCTGAGTTAAACTTCATATGTCATGATGTAGAGTCCATGATTTTGAATTTGATTATGCTGATTATTTAGCACCAAATGAATCTGAAATTGGTTTTGCTGATGGAACATGGTAATACATGGGGTATTCGTCTAGGGTTGCTTTTGATCAAATATTACCTGTAAAAGGCAACACTTCTCCAGAGACTGCTAATGTAAACATCTTGATATAGTGCATATTTTTGAATGTGTAGAAGTGCACACACAGGTACAGGTACATATGTTCCTGTGTGCACTCATGTGGGGGCCAAACATGAACCTCAGGTGCTGACCACCTTGTTTTTTTTGTTTTTGGTTTTTTGTTTGTTCATTTGTTTGTTTTGAGGCACAGTCTCTTTCTGGCCTGGAGCTTGTCAAGTAGACAAGACTGGCTGGCCGGAGAATCCCCAAGGATCCAGCTGTCTCTACCTCCCTGGTGGTGGGATTGATTACAAGAGCACACACCATTCCCAACAATTTTACATGGGTTCTAGGGACCAAACTCAGGTCCTCCTTCTTATATATCAAGAACTTTACCAACTGAGCCGTCTTCTTACAAGCCACATTTCTGTGTTTCCAGGATTTTAATAGGTTTTCATTATATTTTCCCTCCCTGGCAGAATGGTCTCATATCTGAGAAAAGTTTTTGTTTCTGCTGCCTTTCCAACCTCATCCGAGAAGGATGAGGCCTGCCTGAGCTTCTTAAAACACACAGCCTCTAACTCCCAGCTTTGAGAGCAAACACTCTGCCAAGCATCTCCCAGCTACAAAGTGACCTTGACACATGTCACTCAGCAGGGTTTGCAAATTGAAGTCATCCTGTTTAATATTCATAAAGCTTTTTTTTTTTTTTGCTTTCTAACAGCATATGTAGTGATTTTACAAGGGCTGGGGCTTGGAGCTTTATTTAGAGATGGGTTGAATTCTGAGAAACATACCGTCAGTGTCTCTCTGATGGACTGAATTATCAGTTTGGAGGTAGGAAAATTTCGTTTGGCATTCTTCGAGGGATGAGAGTGATGTACTGGATCCTGACAGGTTTTTCTCATTGGGGGCTTCCTTGGCTGGTCCATCTGTGATACTGAATTCGGATACTGAATTTATAACGATAGCATTAATGGGTTTCTCGTCGGCACGCTTTTCATTTGTGAGGTGTGTATCTAGATGAAAAAAAGAAAACAGACACACAAACCCAGTGTAGTTTACAAGACCTAGTGATCTAAGAATGGATATTTTCAAGAAAATTCACATTCCATACTTTGAAGGAATAATACCTTCTTAAAGGGAATAAATATTACTATTTTTTAAAAAGTAAGAATAGAAACGTTGCCATCATAGAATTTTATATATGTTGCAAATTTCAACTTGATGTGTAACACATATTGGGAATGATAAGGCAGAGAACTGAGGAAACCACCCACTTGGATCAACAGAGTCCCAGCATGTGCTGCCGTGGTAGAGTGTCATGAAAATGGGATGCAGGAGGAGGGGCAGGCAGGCTACCACGCTTCTGATGGTCACGATCACAAACCCCTGTATTAATTCTTTTTTGTTTCTACAAACCTCAGTTGCCTTCTCTTTAGGAGAATAAAACCTAGGTTGAGATGAGTAGTCTATAGGCTCATTCTTTTTGTTTGTTTGTTTTAAATAGGATTTTTATTAATTGAGAATTTCATACAATATGTTTTGATCATATTCACCCTGTCTCCCTCAACTATTCCCAGATCCTTTCCCACCTCCCCACCCCAAACTTCACATCCTCTTTTTAATTTTTTAAAGTCCATAAAGTCACTTTGTGTTGCCCAAATACTCCCAGGGGTGGGTCTACCCTCTGTAGCATGGTCGACTGGCCAGACATCACACCCTTAAAGAAAGCTGACTCTCCATTTCCCAGCAGCTATCAATTGCCTCCTCAGCTAGGGGTAGGACTTCGTGTCCACCTCCCCTGCTCTTGCTGGGATTTTATCTGAATTGAGCTTATGCAGGTCTTATGCATGCCGTCACAAGTACTCTGAGTATGTGCAACTGCCCAGCTATTGGTGAAATAGTGTAAATACTGTTTCCTTATAGTTGTCCACCATTTCTGGCTCTTACAATCTTTCCACCCCCTCTTTGGTGACAATCCCCGAGTCTTGGGGGCAAGGATGTGATATAAATGTCCCATTTAGAGCTGAGCACTCAACTGTCTTTTATTCTCTGCAAGTTGATCAATTGCCTTCTACTGCAGAAAGAAGCTTCTCTAATGAGGGTTGAATATCACTAATCTATGGGTATAACATTAAATTATTAAGAGTTGGCTTAATACTATTTCTGTTTAGCAGAATAATAATAGTAAGATCTTCCCCTAGGTCTATGTCCTAGCTAGACAAAGGTCTTTGTTTCTGATAACTGTGCCAAGTATAGCTGCATCTTACAGCATCTCACAGAAAGTGTTTGGTTACTTCCATGGCATTTGTACCACTTTTGCACCAGTGGGCATATCTTCTTACTTCTGTTCTCAGACAGTTCCTTTCCTATATGAGATGGTTTGACCTGGACATTTGCACTTTTAGGTCCTTAGCCAGGAGATGGCTTCTCTGACTTTGAAACTGTCTTTGGGGAAACAAGCTTTATTGCTTGTAATCAGCTGGGATGACTAAGAGAGGTATTCTGGGAACTTCTGCCAATATCCTGACCAAGATTCTGGTTTGGAGAGCCATAGAGAAAGCTGAGGCAGCCACATACATCATGTATTTTGGAACTCCTACGTTCATTCACTCACTCCATATAACAGTGGGGGATCTGTGGTGGATCCAACACTAGACTAAGTATTGGGATTCAGTAGTGACTAAAATAGGTATGGTTCTTGGCCTTCATAAGCACCCCACATGTTAGTAAAGAAAGTAATTACGGTACTTAGGAGTGTGTAAAGGGAAGCTTTTTACCCAGTCATGTCAGAGAGAGGATGAAGCTGGATGGAAATGCAGTTAGTGTATAATATGCCTATACCTGTAAACAAAGTTCCAACATGGGACCTGTAAACAAAGTTCCAACATGGGGAAAGAGGAAACTGAAGCACATATTCTTAAACACATGGCCAGGCTGGCTCCTAGGGACATCTTTAGCCCCAAACAAGCACCAGTACTGGTGATTTGGTGGTACTACAGGGAGATGGACAATATGTGTTCCTGGGATCACTTTTCCATAGGGAGCCAAGGGTTTGACTGACTCGGAAACACTTATTGAGCCACTTAAATGAGCCTGGCTTGACATTGCTATGCACATCCAGCTCAGTTCAGGAAATACATTCTTACTAATTCCATCTTTACTGCTTATTTCAAAATTGCCTCTTTATGGCAAATCACAGTCTCTGCTTGGTCCTGCTTTCTGGGGATGTGTTTCCTTGATACTTCTTCAGAGTAGAATCACCTGAGAAATCTAAAATTTCTGAACTGTTGGAAAGTGCTGGCACCATCCTCCCCAGCTGACCAGTTGAGTCTCTGGGGAACTTACTGAAACTTCCCAGGTGAATCAAATACACAGACGTATCAGAGCCCTAAGGAGTCTTCCACTTGTGAGAGGGGAAGAAAAAGAATAACCCACAAACTTGTCAATCAGTGATTCTCAAAGCCCATCATGAGATGGTCGCTCTCTGAAGACTTAAACTGGAACCAGACCAAACAGTCTGCCACACACAGTCGTCTCAGGCCATTTTTGTTTCTTTCCCATTTTCCAAACAGCCTTGGTTTTCGACAATGTTTAATTTTTATTCCTTTCCCCATATGCTGCTGGCTTTAAATCTCTTGGTGGTGGTTTAATCCATACTGAAAAAGATTGGCAGAAGAAGGGGTTCAAGAAAAACATCTATTGTTGACAGCAATTAATGCAGTATTGAACACTGAATATTGAAATAGAATTAGCTCCAAACATTGGGACAGTGTAGGTTTCCTCTAACGCAAGAGGAACTTACCATATTAGCAATACAATGATAATGGTGGTGGTCAAAATGAAAGTAATCATTGAGTTTCCTTCCTTGGGTAGGAATGCATCCAATCATCAGCCAGCATCTCAATGAGATGGCTATTTAAATTCTGCCTTAGCAATGTTGATATTTTGAGATAATTTTATATGAGAGGGAGACGGTAGAGTGCTAGCTGTCCTGTCTCTCTTTCTTCTGCCTAGTAGACTCCAAGTGGCATTTGTCCTCCAGGTTATGGTAATCAAAAATCACTGTTAGCCTTGTCAACTTTCTCCATGGGGACAAAATTGCTCAGGCTGAAGGCCACTTCTTTGTACACCAATATGCATGTTATATCCATTTGTATGTCGAGTTCTATATTATTGCTTAATACTTTATTAAACTCAAACATCTCAGTCTGAAAGAATCTGGGAGATAGATATTATTAGCTTCCTTGAAAAGAAGGGAAAAGTAGAACTTACTCTCTCTAGCTAACAGATAAAGGAGAAGAGTCAAGGCTTTGAGACTTTCTTTAGGTAAATTGTCCAAGGACTCCTCAGTACTCAAGATTAGAACTGGGATTTGAACCTAGGGCTGTTGAATTCCAAAAGCTTTGCTCTTGCTTTTGTCATCTATATATTATACAACGAATCTCTAATTCATGTTTTGCTTGTATTTCAACTTTCTAGTGGCTGAGGAAGGCTGCACATCCGCAAAACCTTCTTTTCCCTAAAACTTGAGTTGTGTCATTGACCCAAATCCAATCTTGCAAATACCTTAGTTTGACAGACTTTCTTTGCCCGGTAGTTGAAAAGTACAGTTGATTTCTCATACACTGGGGAACCCTCTTATTCAGGTTCAGCTGCTTTGTACTGTACATTAAACAGCCGCTCAGAAAGAGTTGATAGACACAAAGCCATGATGAGTATAGAGATTACAGCAGCTCTTTGCTTAACAGAATTCATTAATAATCAGTTCGAATTATCACACGTAGTCAGACTGCATGTAATTTAAATTGCTTTTGCACAAAGTAATTCAGTAACAAAAAAAAGTTGGATAGAGGTTACTAGAATGTAAAAACATGCAGAGAATACAGTTTACAGCCAAGTGGTATATGATTCTCTTTTTAATTTTGAGACAACTTTAAGTATAGCATTTTTTTAAGTATAGCATTTTGAATGTAAGTGGTATGCTACATTAAGCAACCATTTGGAACTCACTAAGTTTGTGCAGAGAGGATTTTATGGAGAACTTAGCTGCCATTCATAAAGTTATTTTAATTCTATATCTCTGTTTATATTTTTATTTTTTTCATTCCCCCAGTGGGAGCTATCTGTTGCTCATTAAAAAATCATCTGACATACACACATTTCAGAACCCAGTCTGTTCAACCCAGAATTCTGACATCTGAAGTGAGCCACAATTTTTTTTTGGGTGAATGTTACTGACATCTTCCATTTTTTATAACTGGGTTGCTAACAATAATCCCCGCCCCCCGATTCCTTTCTTTATCGTGTTATTTGACATGGTACCCAAAGTATTCAAAAGCAGCATAAGTTAAAGGGTGAAACACATGAAAAGTGGTATCACATCTTCCATTGGGGAACTATTTTAGAACTAGATAAAGGACCTGAGAAACTATATTTGGGACTCTATATATAGGTCTTGATATTAACTCAGAGAAAACAATATTTTTCAACTGAAAACAAAAACCAAATCAAAATTGGGACAAAAATTAGGAGTGTCTCTATAGTTCTTAGAAAAAAAAATGAAGTCTATATTGAAAATCAGTGAACTAGAAAATCCCTGTTTGGGTCAGAAGTAATTGAAAGAATCAATGGGTATAAACTAAGCAAAGGTAAGATAGTTAATTAAGTTTTTACTACCGTTGAGCAAATGTTATTAATTTAATTCAATTAACATTTATTGAGCTCCCACATGCAATAGATGAATCAATGTGACAGGAGCTATTAATTTATTTACTTTAAGTTATTAAGGAAACATTTTAATGCTTTCCATTTTTGCTCACTAAATGTGACTGCATAATTTTCACATTCGTATATTCTCTCTTTGTGTCTTTATAGATGTAATCATGAGAATTAGGAGGAGGCAGCATCTCTTCCAGCCTGGCACCTCCATTACATTCCTGCTCACTCTTTCCCTTTTCCTCTTTCCTGCACCCCTGTTCTTCCTGCCTTTCACTCTGCTGTTGATCTTTCCCGT